ATTTTTTCACTTTTGCTATAACGAAGATTTACGATTTTACGATCAATTTTCAAGTTTATTAGAATTATTTTAGTGGCGAGCTTGCAACTTTGGCCTCGCGCTACGACTTCCTAGCAAAATTAGAATGATAATTAAATCGAGGATAATATTTTTAGATCAAAATTAAAATGTCCTATTTGTGATTAATTGCATTTTTCGTTTGTTTGTTTTTGTTTATTTTGTTATGTTCGTTGCTTTGAAAAAAAATTAAAATCAAAAATCAAAAATCAAAAAACAAAAAAAAAAAAAAAAGAAAAGAGAAAAAAAAAATGATAAAAAGAAGACAAGATCGTTGTTGCCTTGAATTTACGTGTCGATGTGTTAGTGTTAAGTTTTTTCTTAACTGAAATCAACTTTCCGAGGCGAACATAATTCAGGAAGCCGATGATTGTTTTTTTGAAAGAACAAATTATAATTAAGTTTGTCTTAATATTCTGTTGATGTAGCAAATTACAAGCATCGAGCGCTCGAAGCTTCTCTCGCATTACACAACTTGTCTTCGTAGACCATTAAAGCGTATATAATCATTACAACGATAGCAACAAAAATTCAAAGCGAACACTCATCGTATTCAACTACTCACTTAGGCTTTTAAAATACTTCAATGACAAAAGGCTGCGAAATCATCATTAGCACTTATTGTAAGAAAAGTATCACGAATCCATTAGATTTTCATCAATTTACCATTAGCCATTTCACCCTCCTGTTAGCACTTTCTATGGGGGAAATGCAATAAGGAAGGGTCTTTTTATCTCCCCTATTCTGTTTAGCTCGCTCTTTCAAAGTGTTGATACAGTTGCCGAACATAACACTACCGTATAATTGTTTCGTGAAAGAAAACATTTAAATTCAGAGTATGCGAAATCGATTTACACGATCTGTCTCGAGATACTTAATTGTATTCCAATGTAAAACGGTTAAGGGATATTCCATGTGTAGCGTTAAGAACGGCACTTTATCCTTTTAGCAATATCCTACGCGTATTGCAAAACATTTAATTATTAACAATGAGAATAGTGAGATGCTTAAAATGACGCAACGTTGATTTAAATATTGCTACTTGGTCATAATGTGCACGATGGGTTTACATTTTGATATTACTGCCGATCCAGGCAAATCACAATATCATTGCCGTATCAATCCCTCGACGTGTGATGAGTTTCGTTAATTAGAAAAAAAATTAAAAAAAGAAACAGAAAAAAAAGAAGAAAAAAAACGAAAAAAAAAACAAGAATGAACGAACGAAAAAGAACAAGAAGAAGAGACAGAGACAGAGAGAGATACAGAGAGAGAGAGAGAGAGAGATACAGAGAGAGACAGACAGAGAGAGGCAGAGAGAGGCAGAGAGAGGTAGAGAGATACAGAGAGAGCGAGAGAGAGAGACAGAGAGAGGCAGAGACAGAGAGAGAGAGAGAGAGAGAGATACAGAGAGAGAGACAGACAGAGAGAGGGAGAGAGAGGCAGAGAGAGGGAGAGAGAGAGAGAGAGAGAGAGAGAGAGAGATAGCGAGTGAGAGTGGGTGGGGAAGGGGGGGAGCGTGAAGAGTAAAATGAAAAGAGAGAAAATGAAAGTAAGTACGTGGCAAGGAGAAGTTATAATGCAATTTAGATCACGACCTCTGTATTTAAAATGAATAGTCATTAAAATTCTATTACTAACTCGCTTTTAAAAATAAAGTCACATATTCTGTATATACGCAGCGACAGATACGTCCATTATACAAAACAATATCTAGTTACAATTCACAAGAAGCGGCAAAATGACAAATTCATTTGCCTAAAATGGAATTTCGAAATTATTTTAATCGTTTTAAAACGAAACGGATGGATATTAGTTCGTTTTAATAACATTTTTCACTTGGAAACGAAAATTTTTTCGTTTTGTGAGAGTATTTCCAGAAAATTAAGTAAATTAGTACGAAAACGTATGGGAATTCTTTTTTTTTTTTTCCCGCTCCCGGGATACGAACAAGTTGTTAGTCTAAAACAATTCCGACGTACGGTAATGTAAAAAATAACATTATATTCTACAGTTTAAATATAGTTTTAAATAATGCGCGTGTGAACAATGCATAAATATGTTTAAAGGGACGTGGAGAAAGCATCTTAAAAGCATATTTCTTTCTTCTTTCTTTCTCTTAATTTTTGTTTGTTACATTGTTTTTTTGTTGTTGTTGTTGTTTTTTTGTTTTTGTTTTTTTGTTTGTTTGTTTGTTTGTTTGTTTGTTTGTTTGTTTGTTTGTTTGTTTGTTGTTGATGTTGTTGTTTACATTCAAAATGCGCTATCGTTATCGTTGATTTATTTCATGCGTGTTTTTTTTACATGCAATTGTAATTGCACGGTTAAAGCCTTCACGGAATTAATAGCAATTTTGTAATTATAAACAATGAAGCTTTAGAATTCTTACGTATTGGACAGAGTGACGCGCAGTAACTTTCTTTTTCAATGTGACACTTTACTTTTCGCCCGATACTCATCTTACCGCCAACTTTAAAGGCTCCCCGATGATAATTTTTTGCTTACGAAAAGAGAAAAAAGACAAGACGTAATAACGCACGAGCTTTACGACCAAAATTGCTAATCCCAATTACCATAGAGAACTTTAGTTTACGCGTGAAAAATACGCTCAGCCTTGAAAAGTGTACACGATTAGAATTGAATCGAAAGATGATGTGCTTAACTTATTTTGGAAAAAATTCACACGGGAAGTACATTTCGAGAATAAAGAATAGAATATAAGGGCTTAAAACCCCAAAAGCGCGCATTCGTACGATTTAGCTATACGGTACTTCGAATCCTATAGACATAGTTCGTAGCTCGTAGAAAAGTGCGAGTGAGCGAGCGTGCGAGAATGGTGTTGGCGAGAAGGACGGGGGGCGAGGAGGGTGGTAAGGGTATAAATGGGAGGAGGAGGACGAGGTGGCGGATTGGAAGGGGCGGGCGGGAGGAGGAAGAAGAAATGAACTACCGAGAGGAGAAAAAAATTCACACGGGCGCGCGCGCATCTTCTTTCAGCCACACATATAAAAGAAGTACGTGAGAGCAGCGTTCTACATGTAGTAGGCACATACTTCCGTGGCAATTTCACGCTCGTATGTGCACTTTGCGTTTGTGTGTACGTATAAATGGACGTACACGGGCGCGCGTACACACACACACACACATAAGTGCGCGCGCGCGGGAATAGTCGTTCTCAGGCGCGATAAGTAACCTTTTATACGCTCGCATTTATCGGCACACTCACACGCGCGCTCAGGGGCCTCCAAATGCGCGCTTTAACACAGACTCACGCGTATCCATAGAGCTCGCGTCTCGATTCGTAGTCGTCATCATTGCACGGCACAACGAATGAGAGAATGAGAGAGAGAGAGAGAGAGGTTGAGCGATGGCACGAGTTGGGGGGAGTGGGTAAGAGAGCGCCAGCGAGCGAGAAGTGGAGTGAGTAGAGGCCACCCACTCTTTTCCACCGCCGGTTTTTCCCCCCCCAACATCCTTTTGCGGCAGCAATTCCACGGGGCCGCGTAGAGGGGATGAAGCGGCAAGAGAGAGAGATAGAGAAAGAGATAGATAGAGAGAGAGAGAGAGAGAGAGAGAGATGACTGTCAATTTTGACAGAATTCATTTTTTAAACACCAATGATAAAATTAACGTGTAATTGTCGAGATTGAAAAATGCAAGCGCGAGCGTACGGACGGGTGGAAAAGAGAAGGCGCGAAAAGCGAGAGCATGTGATAGAGGAGAAAACGGAGAGAAAGAGAGAGAGAGAGAGAGAGAGAGAGAGAGAGAGAGAGAGAGCGAGAGAGAGAGAGCGCGAGCGAGAGTGAGTGAGGA